AGATTTAAAAAAAAAAATCCAATATTGTTATAGTAACAGTGCTTGCAAATTGTTTCACAGCTGTTTCAGAGTTAATTCTGATTTGGGTTAATAAAAGTCGCAGTTAAAAACAGCAGTGCCAGCTCCATTACAGAAGGCATGCAAATATAGAAATAAATTGTCCAAATGTTACTGAGAGACTGATACAGAGGAGCGTGTGTGTCCGAGGTACAAATTCAGGCCAGACTGTATGTTGCTGTTTATTTTTTTGCTGTAAAAGTATGAGCACGATGGAGAATTACATAAGTTCATGCATAGGGGAGCAAAGTCTCAGCTTCTGTATCCCTGAGCCAGCTATTTCAGACGGGACTTGCTAGAAGCCAAGTCTCATAGTATTCTCTAAACACAGGAAAGTGTTGTCCATAGGCCAGTGGCTGTTTGGTGACCTTGGTCAAATGGCTGGTGGGTTTGAACCATTTTCCGCAGTACAATCGCCTTTTCTTTTTTCAGCAGTCACAGTATAGAAATCTATGAATGAGCTTGCAGACTCTCTCCTGTAGTCTGGAGAAAACACCTCTTGGGTTGAAGCACAATGGTAGAGCAGCATGGGGGAGTTTGCACTGACTGTCTTATGTCTGTTTAATGCAACTGGGGTTCTATAGGCCCCTGTCAGGGGTGTTGCTGCTACAGGGGCAGCCAGGTAAAACCTCTCTGTATGCATTCCTGCTGCATTAGGGCTGTGATCAGCCTAATACAGGTAGGAGTCGGGGCCCAGCCTGGCCCCTTTCACACTTCTCTGAGAAACAGAGGTGGGACAGTTCCACTCACATCCCTATCTTTGGGAGGAGAGTGGGGGCAGACTGGGAAGGGCTGCACAGCATGAGGCAGCTCCTGCCAGCTTTAGGCTCATGAGAGAGCCCTAATGCAGGAGAAGCATGCAGCAAGTGTGGGGCAATTTTATCTGGAGGCAGCAAAACCCCATTGTGAAGCACTGAGGTAATCTAAGGGAGCACCAACAGAGCTTCTCAACTGGGGGTACCGCCACATTCAGAAAAGTAGTGGAGGGATGCCCCGACCCTGGAGAGGTTGAGAACCACAGGTTTAATGGGTAAATCACACCGGAGTTTTCAGTGCTGTGGAACTGGCACTTTTCCTAGTGCTAAAATACCCCAAAATGAGACTTGTGCATTCCAAAATGACCATCCTAAAAATGAGAGGGGTAAAATAACACATCCTAAAAACAACACAGAAAACTCTTTTACCAATTGCACAATTTCTAAATTGTACATAGACAGGCTTCACATTCCAGGAAACAGCAAGATTCCTGGCTTCATTCAAAAAACATTTTTGGGGTTTCTGTATTTATGAAAGCTCTGTCCTGTGAGCTTTACTCTTCTTTAAAACCAGACTTCAGCTGGAGAAATAATTCCTTCTCTACTTTGGTCACCATGAAGCCAAAACTGTTGGATGTCAGAGGACAAACATCCAATAAATGTGGGAGTTATTCATGCTTGGAGTGCGTGGCTAAGAGCTCAAGGGGAGAGCTGCTTTTATTAGTGCTGTTCCTGCATTTACCACCTGTTGTAAAAAAACCAACTGATAAGCAGCAATTTCACTGGAAGCCTGTCCTGACAGAATACTTTACCCCTATGTAAACTGTAGTCTAAACTGCTGCTTCCAAGCATGATAATCACTCTTAGTGGCTCTGCAGCTGTTAAGGAGAAAAAAAAGCAAGTCCCTAGTCTTTGCATTCCCTGAGAAGCTAGACAAAATAATACTTAGAATTGTATTGTGTCTTTTTAAAGCAGTGTATTTGATCTCGTAAACGCTATAAGAAGTCAGTAAAATTGCATTATCTAGTATGAATTACAAAATCAGTAATAACTGAGGTATGGTTTATCAGGGTGAAAACCGCCCATGGTGGTTGTCTGCTATTCAATTAAATACACAGTTGTTTCTCAGTGTTGGATTTTTGAGGGGCCAGTAATGTGTCACATCTTGCCTGTTTTGGTTTTCGATTACTTATCTAACCTCTTTTCCCCACTAGGGCATATGTTCACCAGTATACTAAGTTTGGGATTGAGGAGGAGGACTTTCTGGACTGCTTCACAGCTCTGGAACAGGTTCTCTCTAGTTATGCCAGCCTTTGATTTTGAAATGCTTGCCAATGGGGCTTCATCAGAAGGTATCCACAAAGCAAGGCCTTCTGCATCAGCTTCCAAGACAGAAAATGTTCAGGTGACTCCAGTGCAAACACTGTGCTTGTTGTTGTTTTTTGTTTGGTTGTTTTTTGGGGGGTGGTTGTTTTTTTTTTAAGTGATGAAAGTTATATCTAGACTGGCAGTATTATTACGTATAGTGAACAGGTCCATTTTATATACAGTAGGTTTGTGCATTTAATAAAATAAAACTTACTGAAAAATACACCCCTATCTACTTGAATAGGTAGCTCCTTACCTTTTCTTTCTCTTTGCATATTTCTTCAAGGTTCAGATTTTTTTTTTTTTCAGGCTGAAGTCTCAGTGCCTAGGTGAGTGTTGACTGACATGCTCCAGTGGACCTGAAGGATGCAGTGGATTACAGTTTTTCAATTTAGTATTTTAAATTTAAACTGCACATCCTAATATTCAACCCTGGAAAAACTTTGATAACAACAACCAGATAATATTAATCCTTAAGTATCAATTACCCTGATATATATTTGGTAAGGTTCACTGCCTTTTAGGGAATATCATTACTTGCCCAGCTCCTGTGCTGCAAGATGGCTATAATTTTGTGGTGGCAAAAGTGCGGCACTCCAGCTGGGCAGCTGGGAAATCCTGCAGTATCTAAAACTTATTTTTTAAATGTAGATTTCCTAATGGTTGCTGTGAAATTGAAGTTCCATTCAGGATTCTGGTCTACCAGAAATTCCATTCAAGAGCTAGAAACGGTTTCTTTCTGTAAAGTGAAAACTTACATTCTGGAGCACAGCTCTGCAGATTTCCAATGCGAGGCCCTGACTAAGTCAGGTAACTTCAGAAATTCTTCAACCTGATTTCCCACAACCACAAGATGGTGCCATTGCTGTGCTATAGACTGCAACTGTTCTCAGATGTAGTCAACTCATTCCGTGAAAAAGTTGCTGCAGTAATACACAGAATATGGCATCCACACACATGCCGGAAAGAGGAAAGATTAATGACCTCTCAGAGCCCTCACAGAGTCTCTGCTGCGCAAGATGGAAGAGAGAAACATTTTTGTATGATAAAATATAGCAGCACTAGAAATAGGGGAAAAAGAAAGGGTGCTAATGATACTTTGACCTCTTCCTTCTAACTGAAGCCATAATTTTTTTGTTTATTCTAAAATTTACTTAACTGCGCCACATTCTGTCTTAGGCATAACCCGACTCAGCATTGTGTTGTGCCCTAAAATCAGCCCGGAGGATTTTTCCCTTGGTTTGAGACATAACATTAAACTTTCCCTGTAGGGCCCAATTGCCAGGGCTTTCCAAACCTTAACTAAAATGCAAGCAAGTACATACTATAGTGATAGAAGTGCTACATGGGGAAAAAGGGAGGGTCCAGGGGAGGGCCACTCGCATGATCAGGAGGCTGCAGGGCAGGCCCTATGAGGAGAGGCTA